TAGATAGACAAATCGAATATTTCAGGAGCGAATAAATTTTTTTAAATATTTTTATAATTTACGATTTGTTTGCTAGTTGTCTACGCCAGCCTCTATTTGCCCGCTGAACTTGCAGGCGGATAACAGCGCAGCAGCCATGTAAACAAACAAATCACGTTTATATTACGTCCACCCCCGATAACAACTACCATCTATCATCATGATTAATGTGCGCATGCGCATCAGCAACACCACCGCACGCGCTAGTGACATGGAGAGCGATAACGGGGGCGGCTAACTTACAAGGTTTATCACAAGGTCGCGCAAGGTCAACGTTTCGCGTGTACCTATACGTAAGCACACAGCACCACACACACACACACACACACACACACACACACACACACACACACACAGCACAACACACACACCACACACCACCACCACCACCACACCACCACTACTACTTCTACTACCTACTACTACACTACTACTACATTACTACTACTACTATACATACTACTACTACTACTACTACTACTACTAACTACCACTACACACACAGACACATGCACACACACACACACACACACACAACACACACACACACACACCACACACACACACACACACACCACATGTGACGCGCGCACACACACGCACGCACAGTTCATACTACGTGGACACGACTGCTAGATATATACAGCTGCCTGTCTGTCATAAAAGATGAATGTAGTATGTAGTAGTAGTCACGGATGAATCCATAATTACAGGTGAACAATCATAACTGTCACCACCACCCCGCCCGCCTGTCACCATTATAGCAAGGCACCCTCTCTCTCGCACTAAAGGAGCATACAACAGTAAGCCTCGCAATTGTTCACAATGTTGCACTATGTCGTTCTCTAGAAAAGCCTTTTTTTCGCCGAAATTTGGCGCTAGAGTGCAATAATTTGCATTATGCACGCAAAGTTAGATGCCTCGTGGACGTCTAGAAAGCATTAAGTAAAAATTTGTCGTCGTGTAGTTGTGACATTCCGTCAGGTGGCGTAGCCACAGCGACCGCTTGTCATTTCTGTTTGAAATGTTTCAGAACTACTTAGCAGAAATTCGTATCATAGAGCGCGCAAAAGTTTCGAGCGGACATAGAGCATGAATCTGTAGTTATTTAACATGAATAAAGTGTATGTTGTGTATGCGAAGTAACAGTGTGAGTATTTTTAATTAATCTCTGTTCGATGCTAATTCAGGCCTGCCGCCTATGGACGGCCTCTACTGTTGTTCACCACCTAAAGTCTACGTGACTGAATGCACTACCCTTAAATCGAACCTTCCTCCGCCACCCAGGAATAATGCAAGTATATTAACGCGAATTATGCGTGACCTGATATTTTGGTAATTTTTCTGATAAGTCGATCTTTACGTTTTGTCGTGGTGCCCGAGAAAATAACCTCAACGTCATTTAACATATAGCTTGGATCGCGTTCCCCCACCGGATCGGGTCGCATACGAACACGTCATCGCATCCAATCACAAACCTGCTCTATTGTAACTAAGTTATGTGCTAACTAAAGAATCATAACGCGTGTACGTGCGTGTATCTCAGTGTACCCTCGTGTACGTCCGTGTACCCCCTCTGTGCGTGCCTGCCTGAGCTACCATTGTTTACAAAATTGCCTAGCTTAGCCTCGTTTTCGTGCGTGATCCCAGGTCATGAATAATAATTAAGAATGGTCTATAAGTTGGAAACGTGTGAACGTGTAAGACGTGTAGACACGTGTAGACGTTCTATGATATAGAACTCCCACACGCTACAGCATGGGGGGGGAGGGTGTACGTGTGTAAGGCCCGCGCACACCAGCGAATTTTACCAAACGATGAAGCCGATGAAGCGAGTAGGTGTGCGGTCATTTGTAGCACTTTTATTTTTATCGGGTGATCGTTCAAATCAAAATGTTTGATTTACGAGAGGCCGATGAGCGATGAGGCGATGGCTGAGCCGATGAGCCCGATGAGCTGATTTTAGGCGCTTGTGTCGCCACACCTACTATCGCTTCATCGTTTGTAAAATCGGCTGGTGTGCGGCGGCCTTTACACGGTGACCGAGCATGACCACAGACACATCAGTGGCGTGTTTGATGATAACAGATTCCCACGGGATGCATGTCAACAGCGCACTCGTGTTTACACGCACTTGATAACACTTTTTAATCCGGACAGAGCGGTCATAACGAGTACGCTACAGATTGTCTGAAATTTATTAAACGATGCATAAGCAGACAGAATGATGTTATCAGGAGCAAATGAAAACAAAGTTGTGTGTTCTATGCACTGCCGATATTATCATTATATACATATATGTACGATACTGTACATTTTAAGCCTCACTAGGCATGTTAGCTTACTTTGGGATCTGCAGGATTTCCGAACATAAACACCAGTAGGTACCACCAAGTATGATACCAAATTATCATTCGCCGTGTACGTGGACTATTATATAGAACAGTTTTCCAATGTCAGACCGAAGAAACAATGTTTGTGGTCACACAATCAACCCTGAGAAAGTGTCTATCCTAAAACTGTACCGTTGTAATTTGTAAAACAATAAAAATAGGAATTCGTCTTCTTAAAAAATCTTAGGAAACTAATTTAGAATCATATTAAAACACTATTACTAGTTTTTTTTTTTAACTTTCATTGACTTTATTTTGCGTTTGCATAATCGAATAACATAATGATCTGTCATCTACATAGTGACATTCAAATTGTCAATAGGTATATTTACCTGCGTAATTAAACAAAAAATTATTGAATCAATTTCATATCCACCTTTCTACGCTACCTTTCCCAGCTACGTTACCCCAAACATGGTATTCATTTTATCTGACCTTTTACCCGGCTTATCTAAATTGCACTGGTTAATCTTGAAAATATTTACACGATTACCTGACACCATAAGAGTCGATACACACCGATAGATTTCATTAAAAGAGTTCACAAAATAACATATCAGATATTAAAATTATACTATATAATATAACAGCCGATACAAGCAAAGCAGCACAATGCATATAACTGTATGACCTCTTGACCCCTCAACAACAGATCATCTTGACCTCTTGAGCCCAGATTAGCACATGATCACGCACCACTGCCCAGAGGAGGCATATCACTTGACCTCTTGACCCTACACTGACCCCCTCCACCATCAATGTGACCTCTTGACCCCACACTGACCCATCATCAGCATGACCTTGACCCTACTCCGACCCCTCTGTCAGCATGACTTCTTGATCCCACCCCGACCCCTTGTCAGCGTGACCTTGACCATACACTGACCCCTCGTCAGCGTGACCTCTTGACCTTACACCGACCACTCGTCACAGCATGACCTTGACCCTACACTGACCCTCGTCCGCGTGACCTTGACCTCTGCTCAGACGAGGCTCTCCGTGTGACCGTCGGCGCTCGTCGAGATGCGCAGCGGCGCCCCCACCGCCGCCGCGTCCCCGGCCGCCGCTCCCAGCACTCGCTTCCCCACGAGGGCGGCACCGGTCGCTCCCGCTCGCACGTTCTCGTAGCTGCGCGCGCGCCCGCCCTCGAACGCGCTGCCCACGTTCACGCGGCCCACGATGCCGCCGTCGCCAAGCGCGCGGCCCTCACTGCTCCTGTCAGCGGTGCGCGGGGTCGACCCGGAGGTCAAGGTCGCGTCGAGGTCGCCGCTCGGCGCGCGCAGCACGGTCGCGTCGCACGCGCCTCCGGACACGCTCGGCGAATCCTCCGCCGCTTCGTCGACGGTGGCGCCCCCGCGCATGCCGATGTCGGCGAGCGACCGCTCGCAGAGCCGCGAGTCGTCGAAGTCTGGCGATCGCGCGACGGAGGTCCGCGCGCCGAAGTATCGCTCGGCGCGCTCGTGAGAGGGCAGCACTCCGTCGCCGCTGAAGCTGCGGTCGCCGCCGCCCCGCAGCGGTGTCAGGCCACGCTGCACGCCTGCAAGCATACGAGAGGCTGGTGAGTGATGAAGAGAGGGGAGAGAGAGAAGGGAGGAAAGAGAGGAGGGAGAGAGGAGAGAGAGAGAGAGAGGAGAGAGAGGGAGATGAGAGGAGAGTAGAGAGAGAGGGAGAAAGGAGGAAGAGAGGGAGAAGGGAG